CCTATTCTATAGGGACTTAAAGTTTAACATATCAATACTTGATGAAAAATACCTGTTCCATGTTATGCCTAAGATGTTTGATATTCAGACAGATAGTAAGGTTAAGCTCAACAGCCTAACTTGTATGGTAATAACAATAAGCTTCTCTTCTGGAGGGTTAACATCCTAAGTTTGCAGACCAAAAATTAGAAAAAAAGGAGGGCCGCAAGGACAGCCAACATTTTGGTCCTAGCCTTCCATGTGACTCTCCTTAGGCACACTCTACATCATCAATCACTTTCCTCTTTGGCCACATAATCTCCTTGATCAGAAAATTTAGGACACAACTGAGTTATATGATGTAACAGTACAGGTTCTCATATGTCCTGAGTCTTTACTGACCTTGAAAGGCTACGGTGGGGGGGGGAGGCTGTGGAATGGTGGGGGGATCCCAAGGGCACAGAAGAGAATCTCACTCATGCTGTGTGCCTGGGTTTGGACTGGGCAGGTCCTGTGGGTTCAGGGTAGCCGGAAGCTCTCCCACACACTTATTGGGCCTGGGCTAGGGCTGCATCTGGGGGTCCCAAGGATGTGGCAGAAGTTCTCACTCAGCGGGCATGGGGTGGGGTGCTGCAGAATATTTTTCATATATTTAACATTTGTATTTCTTCCTCTGAGAAATATGTATTCATCTCAGATGCCCCCTTTTGGATTGGGTCTTTCAAATTTTGGGGCCTTTTTTTTTGTATTTTAGGGAAGGGTCTACAGGGTGTTCAGGGTCTCACTACTAGATCAGACTCATAGTGATCTACCTTTTTACAGCCTCCTAGGAGCTGGAATTACAGGTGTGCACCATCACACCCAGTTTCAATTGCTGTCTCAGCACAACCTAAGGGCAGGGCCAGCACAGTAGGCCTGGGAATCAAACCACAGGCCCCTCCATCTGCCTAAGCAGGCACTTTAATCTGCTGAGCTATTTGGCCAGCACTGCCTAATATTTTTTAAATCTTTATATATTCTATATTGAACTCATTTGTCTGAGTGACTATTAAGATTTTTTTCCCAATTTGTTGGTTTCGTTTTCATTCAGTTTATTTCTTTTGATGTGCAAAATTTTTTCAATAAAATGAGGTCCTGGGGCCAGGGAAATGGCTCAGTAGAATAAGCACTTGCCTGGCAAGTGCAGGGGCCTGAGTTCGATCCCTGGTTCCACAAAAAAATAAAATAAAATAAAAAATAAAATGAGGTCCTAAGGCCAGCCAGATGGCTCAGCAGACTAAAGCACCTGCTTAGGCAGAGCACTGGAGTTCGATCCCTGGCACCACAAGCCATGCTGGACCCACCCACAGGGTGCACTGAGGCTATGATTGAGACTGGGCATGGTGGTGTGTGCCTGTAATCCTAGTGCTTAGGAGGCTGAAAACAGGAGGATCACTACTAGTCTGATCTACATAGTGAGACCCTGTAGACCTTATACTAAATACATTTTTTTTT